AAGGTCACTCATCATCTCATCACTACCGCCACCACCACCACACTCAAGGTCACTCCTCATCTCATCACTACCGCCACCACCACGACACTCAAGGTCACTCATCATCTCATCACTACCGCCACCACCACCACACTCAAGGTCACTCATCATCTCATCACTACCGCCACCACCACCACACTCAAGGTCACTCATCATCTCATCACTACCGCCACCACCACGACACTCAAGGTCACTCATCATCTCATCACTACCGCCACCACCACCACACTCAAGGTCACTCATCATCTCATCACTACCGCCACCACCACCACCACACTCAAGGTCACTCATCATCTCATCACTACTGCCACCACCACGACACTCAAGGTCACTCATCATCTCATCACTACCGCCACCACCACCACGCTCAAGGTCACTCATCATCTCATCACTACCGCCACCACCACCACCACACTCAAGGTCACTCATCATCTCATCACTACCGCCACCACCACCACACTCAAGGTCACTCAACAAACATCTCATCACTACCGCCACCACCACCACCACCACCACACTCAAGGCCACTCATCATCTCATCACTACCACCACCACCACCACACTCAAGGTCACTCATCATCTCATCACTACCGCCACCACCACCACACTCAAGGTCACTCAACAAACATCTCATCACTACCGCCACCACCACCACCACCACCACACTCAAGGTCACTCCTCATCTCATCACTACCGCCACCCACCACACCCACCTCAAGGTCACTCCTCATCTCATCACTACCGCCACCACCACCACCCACACTCAAGGTCATCATCATCCTCATCACTACCGCCACCACCACGACACTCAAGGTCACTCATCATCTCATCACTACCGCCACCCACCACCACACTCAAGGTCACTCATCATCTCATCACTACCGCCACCACCACCACCACACTCAAGGTCACTCATCATCTCATCACTACCGCCACGCCACCACCACGCTCAAGGTCACTCATCATCTCATCACTACCCGCCACCACCACCACACTCAAGGCCACTCAACAAACATCTCATCACTACCGCCACCACCACCACCACACTCAAGGTCACTCATCATCTCATCACTACCGCCACCACCACCACACTCAAGGTCACTCATCATTCTCATCACTACCGCCACCACCACCACGCTCAAGGGTCACTCATCATCTCATCACTACCGCCACCACCACCACACTCAAGGTCACTCCTCATCTCATCACTACACGCCACCGCCACCACCACGCTCAAGGTCACTCATCATCTCATCACTACCGCCACCACCACCACTCAAGGCCACTCAACAAACATCTCATCACTACCGCCACCACCACCACCACACTCAAGGTCACTCATCATCTCATCACTACCGCCACCACCACCACACTCAAGGTCACTCATCATCTCATCACTACCGCCACCACCACCACGCTCAAGGTCACTCATCATCTCATCACTACCGCCACCACCACCACACTCAAGGTCACTCCTCATCTCATCACTACCGCCACCACCACGGACACTCAAGGTCACTCATCATCTCATCACTACCGCCACCACCACCACACTCAAGGTCACTCATCATCTCATCACTACCGCCACCACCACCACCACACTCAAGGTCACTCATCATCTCATCACTACCGCCACCACCACCACACTCAAGGCCACTCAACAAACATCTCATCACTACCGCCACCACCACCACCACACTCAAGGTCACTCATCATCTCATCACTACCGCCACCACCACCACACTCAAGGTCACTCATCATCTCATCACTACCGCCACCACCACCACGCTCAAGGTCACTCATCATCTCATCACTACCGCCACCACCACCACACTCAAGGTCACTCCTCATCTACAAGTCACTACACCTACCGCCACCACCACGACACTCAAGGTCACTCATCATCTCATCACTACCGCCACCACCACCACCACACTCAAGGTCACTCATCATCTCATCACTACCGCCACCACCACCACACTCAAGGTCACTCATCATCTCATCACTACCGCCACCACCACGACACTCAAGGTCACTCATCATCTCATCACTACCGCCACCACCACCACACTCAAGGTCACTCATCATCTCATCACTACCGCCACCACCACCACCACACTCAAGGTCACTCATCATCTCATCACTACCGCCACCACCACCACACTCAAGGCCACTCAACAAACATCTCATCACTACCGCCACCACCACCACCACACTCAAGGTCACTCATCATCTCATCACTACCGCCACCACCACCACACTCAAGGTCACTCATCATCTCATCACTACCGCCACCACCACCACGCTCAAGGTCACTCATCATCTCATCACTACCGCCACCACCACCACACTCAAGGTCACTCCTCATCTCATCACTACCGCCACCACCACGACACTCAAGGTCACTCATCATCTCATCACTACCGCCACCACCACCACACTCAAGGTCACTCATCATCTCATCACTACCGCCACCACCACCACACTCAAGGTCACTCATCATCTCATCACTACCGCCACCACCACGACACTCAAGGTCACTCATCATCTCATCACTACCGCCACCACCACCACACTCAAGGTCACTCATCATCTCATCACTACCGCCACCACCACCACCACACTCAAGGTCACTCATCATCTCATCACTACCGCCACCACCACGACACTCAAGGTCACTCATCATCTCATCACTACCGCCACCACCACCACACTCAAGGTCACTCAACAAACATCTCATCACTACCGCCACCACCACCACCACCACCACACTCAAGGCCACTCATCATCTCATCACTACCACCACCACCACCACACTCAAGGTCACTCATCATCTCATCACTACCGCCACCACCACCACACTCAAGGTCACTCAACAAACATCTCATCACTACCGCCACCACCACCACCACCACACTCAAGGTCACTCCTCATCTCATCACTACCGCCACCACCACCACCACACTCAAGGTCACTCATCATCTCATCACTACCGCCACCACCACCACACTCAAGGTCACTCAACAAACATCTCATCACTACCGCCACCACCACCACCACGCTCAAGGTCACTCATCATCTCATCACTACCGCCACCACCACCACCACACTCAAGGTCACTCAACAAACATCTCATCACTACCGCCACCACCACCACGACACTCAAGGTCACTCATCATCTCATCACTACCGCCACCACCACCACACTCAAGGTCACTCAACAAACATCTCATCACTACCGCCACCACCACCACCACCACCACACTCAAGGTCACTCCTCATCTCATCACTACCACCACCACCACCACACTCAAGGTCACTAAACGCGCGTCTCTCCACCACTACCACTGCCACCACCGCCGCCACCACCACTATATTGTTCCGTGCATCGGGATCCGTGGCAGGTAGTCTATGCCACGATGGCAAGATATTAACTATATCGTTTGGTACACAGGAGGTTGTGGGTTTGATCCCGATCCCAACCCTGACGCCTGCTGCTGTATATTTGGAGTTTGCGTGTCTCTCTCTCATCATCACGGTGGCTAGGAGATGTTAACTACCTTGCCTGGCATACAGGAGGTCGTGGGTTCGATCCCGACCCTGACGCCTGCTGCTGTATATTTGGAGTTTGCGTGTCTCTATCCCCGTGGCCGCGTGCATTTTCTTCACCGGGCCCTCCGGTTTTCCCCTCCACATTTATAATCAAGGCGCGAAAGAAGTTCAACGTACACGCACACGTTGAAGGAGGGCAGACTGCAGTGGTTTGACTTTATGGTCCATTGTTTGGGTTGCATGGCCACGATCACACGGTGGCAAGATGTTAACTACTTCGCCTGCTATACAGGAGATCGTGCCTTCCATCCCAATCCTAGCGCTTGCTGTGCACATTTGGAGTTTGCGGTGCGTCTCTCGCCATGGAGTTTTCTCCGTGTCCTCCGTTTTTTCCCTCCACATTTAGAATCGACATCACGCCTTCAGAGTATTTGGCTTCTGCTGTAAATGTTCACGTGGCGATAAGCCGCTTCGTTGAGCTATCATTTGAGATGGCCCGGTCGCTTCAGAAAAATAGATAAATAGCTTAGCAGGGCTTTACCAGTGTAAATAGTCTAAACAGCACTTGTCCCAACATAACTACAGGTAGTCCCCGACTCACGATGGAGATGCGTTCCGACGACCCCATCCTAAGTTGAAAATATCGTAAGTCGAAGATGGCCTAGCCTACCCAGGAGTCTTAAAGAACGGTGATAATTTAGCAAAACAGAGCAATTTACTGTACCGTACTGTATAAACTATATGCGTACAGTACAACCCGGCAGCGTCCCAACGTACAGTATCGTACCTCGTGCGCTGCTGCATTTGCCTGCCGCGCGAAATGTAAAATATTTTACAATTTTGTCGTATCACTATCGCCATCGTAAGATCGAATTATCGTAAGTCGGACCATCGTAAGTCGGGCACTACCTGTATTTAAGACCAAAACAGGAGGAGGATTTCTCGCCAACTCTGGCTGTCGCCTGATGAAGCCAGTTGCAAATACCGGTGGAATGTCACAGCTACACGAATTGTAAATGTTGTGGGTTCGCTCTCCCAACACAGAACCGGTGTGTGCTGAACTAAGTAACGAATTGGGCACGTTTTTGTTTACGCGACAAACCTCCTTACTAAATTGGCTGCGTCGTGTGGTGGCGGGTTTCACGATACATTCACATTTACGCGAGCTAACCCAACAAAAAAACAAATCCCCGTCCTCTATTGTGAAGAACTGTTGAAGGCTTATCGCGACCAGGGCCGGTACACAGACAATCGTCACTGGCCACACACACACACGATGATCCAATTTGCTCATCGTTATTTCCGCCGTTCGTTTGTCCGTTGACACATTCAGCCGTGCCTTCATTCATTAAGGTGAGCCGTTCAGCGCGGTTCACTCACCCGGGCGATGAAATCAATCACCCCCGCAGGACACGCTCCTCGCGCGACTGCAGGGCGCTCAGCGGCGCGTGGAGAAGCTCGTCGTAGACATCGAGAGCGGCGCGGCGAAACTGCGCTCCGAGCAAAAGGTGACGACGATGACGACGACGACGACGAAAGACGGGAAAAGAACATGTCGCCAAGTAAAGCGAAACGTCTCAGGACTTGATAATTGTTTTTTTACCTTTTTATCTGGCATAAAAACTGACACCTTTTTTAAATCCTTTATATTAAGTTCGCTTGCTTGCTTGTGTGCTTGCTTATGACCGTGCAAATCTTTCGGTCGTTTTTTAACCCACTTCCCGTGATCCAATCGAGCTGACATTTTGCACACAGACTCGTTGTGCGAGACAATTAATGTTCGTGAAAAAAAATTCAAAAATGTTACACTGTTTATGGGAAAATAAATAAATATTTAATTACCAATTGCTTAATACTGGCAGACAATCATCTGACCCATAGGTGGCAGCCATCTCAAGCCAGAGGACGAGAGGACTCTAGCCGCCACGCATATAAAGGATTTATAGTGAAAAACTTTGTTTTTACGGGTTATACTTATTTTACAAGGAGTCATGTTTGCATAGACCGCAATACCTGCGGTCGGAATGCAAACAAAAGACACAACTCTGATAATATATGCACTGTCACTTGAAGTTGATTGGTCCACACCCGAGACAGCTTTCCTTAGAGCCTAGTCTCACATGGTGTTGGACCAGATGAGACTAGGCTCTAAGGAAAGCTGTCTTGGGTGTGGACCAATTAACTTCAAGGACAGTGCATACATTTTCAGAGTTATGTCTTTTGTTTGTATTATGACTGCAGGTATTGCGGTCTATGCAAACATGACTCCTTGTAAAACAAGGTGTCAGTTTTGTTGCCAAATAGAAGGGTAAAAAACCAATTATCATATTTTTACTGGCAAATGAGGTTCCCATGGTGTCTCAGGACTTGCCGCTGTGAAGATGCTCGCGGCGGCAGCGACGACGGATATCGCTTTGTGGGCCACGTCAGCTCGACCAGGGGGGGGACAGTGGGGGCACAGGAGGGCACGGGGACGGTAGTGGCTACGGTGCAACGTTGTGAGGGACGTGTACGTTGCACTTCTTTCGCACCGTGCCTAAGCCAACCGCGCCAATCGGAGGTGCGGGGGAAGGAGACCCCTTTCCCACGTCGTCGCGCCAGCCGCAGAGGTCGTAAACGGGTTTTGATTCCTTACCCCCCGTACCCGTATCCGGCCGCACCAGGGTCGCTAACGGGTACCCGTACCCGAACCCGGACGTACCCGTACCCTACCCGTACCCGGCCGGGTACGGGTAGGGTACGGGTATCGGGTACCCGATTGCGACCTCTGGGATGAAGCCATGTTGCAGGCGCGGGTGGGTTGATTCTAGGAACTTGAATTGTGAGAAGAGACAAGACGTTGGGAGATGAGTGACAAACGGTGACTCACCAGTGACTCACGGCCTACCCGTACCCGGCCGCACCAGGGTCGCAAACGGGTACCCGTACCCGGCCGGGTACGGGTAGCCGGGTATCGGGTAGGGTACGGGTATCGGGTAGGGTACGGGTATCGGGTACCCGGTTGCGACCTCTGGCCAGCCGGCGGCCGTCGCCGCTGTGCCGCTTTAACCGTCGTGCTGCCGCTGTCTGCCTCCTCTACCCCCCCCCCCCCCCATCACGGCGCAGCTGCGTAAGGATGCCCAGCAGGAGCTGAAGGCGGCACGGGCGCAGCTGGCGCAGCGGAGGGCGCTGGCTTCCGTCGCGAGGAAACCCGGAGTCGCGTACGGGCTCTAGCGCGCTCGCCGCACGAACGTGGAATGACCACCGAGACCGTCCACTGTCGACAAAGATTTGTGACCCCCCTTTGCCCCCACGTACTCGTCGGAGTGCGGAGGACACCCTTTGAGAGTTAATTCTAGATTTTGAAGCTTTCGTGACTGCAAGGGTTCATATTCTTAGGTTTTTCCGGTAAAGTCACGTAGGTAAAAAAAATTCTAATTAATTAAAGTAAAATTAAAATAAAATCGTGCTGTGACGGTTCCACCTGAAGACGGAGGCTTGTGTTGCCTCCGAAACGTCGTGATTTTTTACATTTATTATATTTAATTTTTTTTACCTACGTGACTTTACCGAAAAAACCTAAGAATACGAACCCTTGGGAGTTCCTTTGCTTATCTCTGCGTTATTTTCTCCTCCGAAAGCACGGCGCGCACGGCATCGATAATTACCGGCATTTGATATTTTGATCCGCCTATCTACGCCGCGTGTTTCAATAAAGTGGTGGTGCTATTTGTGCGCCATTAAAAAAAAAACCCGCTCGGGTCTGACCTGCCAAGGAGATGTTGTATCTCAGTGGCACGGAGGAGGCGGGGTGGGGGGGTATGGGATACTGATCTGCGGCCTGTGGGCCAGACGCGCCCCCTGAACACCACCAAGCTTGGCAGCGTATATTTAAGCTGGGTTAGAGGAGGAAGGGCGCCTTGACGAAGGAATTTGCATATCAACAGAGGAATTTAGCACATTCAGACGCTGTCTTTCCGACAGACCTGTTCTCCACCTGAGGACGGCTGCTTGCGTTGTGGCCGAAACGTCGTGAGAATTGTATTTTATTATGTTTTATATTATTTTATTATTTCCCTTTTACGTAACTTTACCGAAAGAACTAAGAAGATTAATTTTATTTCATTATGTTTAATTTTTATTATTTTATTATTTCCCTTCTACGTGACTTTACCGAAAGAACCAAGAAGACAGAGTGAGTTAAATGAAAGCGTGTCATAATATTAGACGAGTTCGGAGGCGATGAGTGGATACTCCGTGCTGCGTTCTGCCCTCCCCTTGAGGATCGAGTGATTCCACCACCGAGGGACACCAGCTTATGGCTGCAGAGTTTGGTGGTACATGTTGTTTATGTCGTTTATTGTGAAAATTCGGTCACAGTTCCTATGACCTGCACTGTTTCATTGCTTTCATGGCTTTATTTTGGTGATTTTAGAAACGTTTTTTGGTTTGGCCATGTTTGTTTGTTGTAGTACAGAGTTAGACTGATGGCCTTAATCTAAGTTGTCTTGTGGTTGTTGTTGTTGTTGTTTGACTTGCATCCCACTGGGATATTTGCACAGGGTTGGTGTACGGTTATTTTTTCAGCAATATTTTGCTGTCTTTTCTTGGATTTTCTGTTTGCACTTAGTCACTTTAAGATGTTTTCTTGTTCATGTTTTTTTGTTTGTTGCGGTTGCACCCGATTCAAGAGCCGAATGGCTCACAGGGCTGTACCTAATAAATTAACTTTGAAATGAACTATGTGGAACGCCAAATGCTTTAATTAAAAGTGTTCTTCTGAGAAGCATTCATGCACCTTTAATTATGACCAGATGCACACCGATCGACTCCCGCATTACACAACAATCTCAACGTACATACATACTCACACATACACCCAGACTCACACATAGACCCATAGACTCACACAGAGAGACCCATATACTCACACATAGACCCATAGACTCACACATAGACCCATAGACTCACACAGAGAGACCCATATACTCACACATAGACCCATAGACTCACACATAGACCCATAGACTCACACAGAGACCCATAGACTCACACAGAGACCCATAGACTCACACAGAGACCCATAGACTCACACAGAGACCCATAGACTCACACAGAGACCCATAGACTCACACAGAGACCCATAGACTCACACAGAGACCCATAGACTCACACAGAGACCCATAGACTCACACAGAGACCCATAGACTCAGACAAAGACCCATATACTCACACAGAGACCCATAGACTCACACATAGACCCAGACTCACACATAGAGACCCATAGACTCACACAGAGACCCAGACTCACACATAGAGACCCATAGACTCCAGACTCACACATAGAGACCCATAGACTCACACAGAGACCCAGACTCACACATAGAGACCCATAGACTCACACAGAGACCCAGACTCACACATAGAGACCCATAGACTCACACAGAGACCCAGACTCACACATAGAGACCCATAGACTCACACAGAGACCCAGACTCACACATAGAGACCCATAGACTCACACAGAGACCCAGACTCACACATAGAGACCCATAGACTCACACAGAGACCCAGACTCACACATAGAGACCCATAGACTCACACAGAGACCCAGACTCACACATAGAGACCCATAGACTCACACAGAGACCCAGACTCACACATAGAGACCCATAGACTCACACAGAGACCCAGACTCACACATAGAGACCCATAGACTCACACAGAGACCCAGACTCACACATAGAGACCCATAGACTCACACAGAGACCCAGACTCACACATAGAGACCCATAGACTCACACAGAGACCCAGACTCACACATAGAGACCCGTAGACTCACACAGAGACCCAGACTCACACATAGAGACCCATAGACTCACACAGAGACCCAGACTCACACATAGAGACCCATAGACTCACACAGAGACCCAGACTCACACATAGAGACCCATAGATAGACTCACACAGAGACCCATAGACTCACACAGAGACTCGTAGACTCACACAGAGACCCATAGACTCACACAGAGACCCAGAGAATCGCACAGAGACCCATAGACTTACACAGAGGCCCATAGACTCACCCAGAGACCCATAGACTCACACAGAGACCCATAGACTCACACAGAGACCCATAGACACACAGACCCATAGACTCACACTGAGACCCATAGACTCACACAGAGACCCATAGACTCACACAGAGACCCATAGACTCACACAGAGACCCATAGACTCACACAGAGACCCATAGACTCACACAGACCCATAGACTCACACATAGACCCATAGACTCACACAGAGACCCATAGACTCACACAGAGACCCATAGACTCACACAGAGACCCATAGACTCACACAGAGACCCATACTCACACAGAGACCCATAGACTCACACAGAGACCCATAGACTCACACAGAGACCCATAGACTCACACAGACCCATAGACTCACACAGAGACCCATAGACTCACACAGACCCATAGACTCACACATAGATATAGACTCACACAGAGACCATAGACTCACACAGAGACTGACTCACACAGAGACCCACATACTCACACAGAGACCCATAGACTCACACAGAGACCCATAGACTCACACAGAGACCCATAGACTCACACAGAGACCCATAGACTCACACAGAGACGCATAGACTCACAGAGTCCATAGACTCACAGAGACCCCAGACTCACACAGAGACCCATAGACTCTCACAGAGACCCATAGACTGACACAGAGACCCACAGACTCACACAGAGACCCGTAGACTCACACAGAGACCCATAGACTCACACAGTCTCATAGACTCACAGAGACCCACAGACTCACACAGAGACCCATAGACTCACACGACTCACACACAGACCCTAGACTCACACAGAGACCCATAGACTCCACACAGAGCCCATAGACTCACACAGAGGCCCACAGACTCACACAGAGACCCATAGACTCACACAGAGACCCATAGACTCACACATTGTCCCATAGACTCACACAGAGACCCATAGACTCACACAAAGACCCACAGACTCACACAGAGACCCATAGACTCACACAGAGACCCATAGACTCACACATTGTCCCATAGACTCACACAGAGACCCATAGACTCACACAAAGACCCACAGACTCACAGAGACCCACAGACTCACACAGAGACCCATAGACTCACACAGAGACCCATAGACTCACACATTGTCCCATAGACTCACACAGAGACCCATAGACTCACACAAAGACCCACAGACTCACAGAGACCCATAGACTCACACAGAGAACCGTAGACTCGTTCCGGGGCCCCTCCCCCCTCTTCAATGCGCGTTCCGGGGCCCCTCCCCCCTCTTCAATGCGCGTTCCGGGGCCCCTCCCCCTCCTCAATGCGCGTTCCGGGGCCCCTCCCCCTCCTCAATGCGCGTTCCGGGGCCCCTCCCTCTCCTCAATGCGCGTTTCGGGGCCCCTCCCCCCTCCTCAATGCGCGTTCTGGGGCCCCTCCCCCTCCTCAATGCGCGTTCCGGGGCCCCTCCCTCTCCTCAATGCGCGTTCCGGGGCCCCTCCCCCCTCCTCAATGCGCGTTCCGGGGCCCCTCCCCCTCCTCAATGCGCGTTCCGGGGCCCCGCCCCCTCCTCAATGCGCGTTCCGGGGCCCCTTCCCCTCCTCAATGCGCGTTCCGGGGCCCCTCTCCCTCTTGGCCATTGTGTTCCCAGCGCGCGTACTGTCTGGCGGTACAGTGCGCGCTCTCCATTAACAACAACAACAATCAACAACAACAACAATTCAACAACAACAACAATCAGCAAGCATCAGCAGCAGCAGCACAGACTCACTCGCGCGCCTCGGGAGGAGCAGCCCTCGTCGGATGTGCAAGTCGTGAGTGGATCTCTGATATTTTCCCTCACGCACACAGACGCCTCTCACTCCACTGCTGGATGGCGATGAGGGGGGGAGGGGGGAGGGGCTAGCCCCCCCCCCTCTGCCCCCCCCCTCTGCCCCCCCCCTCTGCCCCCCCCCTCCTGCCCCCCCCCTCTCCACGCCATTGCGGGTGCGTTTGTCCATACTTCACCCACACGGTACAGCGCGCTTTGATGGTGCATCATCATCATCAACAACATCATGATTATCAACATCATCATCATCATCAACAACATCATTATCAACAATATCAACAACATCATCAACATTATCAACAACATCATCATGATTATCAACAACATCATCATGATCATCATCAACATAATCATCGACAACAACATCATCATTATCATCATCAACCAAGAACAACATCATCATCATCATCATCAACAACATCATCAACATTATCAACAACATCATTATCAAAATTATCAACAGCATCATCATCAACATTATCAACAACATCATCATCATGATTATCATCAACATCATCATGATTATCATCAACAACATCATCATCATCATGATTATCAACATCATCAACATCATCATCAACATCATCAACAACATCATCATCAACATCATCATCATCATCAACAACAACATCATCATCAACAACAACATCATCATCAACAACAACATCATCACAACAACAACATCATAATCATCATCATCCCTCGCCAGTCAAACCGTGATCACTCCACTGCTGGATGAGAGAACAACCCCCTCACCACCACCACCACCAACCACCACCAACCACCACCACCATCACCACCACCATCACCCTCACCCCCACCCCCACCACCATCACCACCACCATCACCCTCACCACCACCACCATCACCCTCACCACCACCACCATCACCACCACCCCCACCACCACCATAACCCTCACCACCACCATCACCCCCACCACCATCACCACCACCATCACCCTCACCCCCACCACCATCACCCTCACCACCACCACCACCACCACCCCCACCACCACCACCATCATCCTCACCACCAACCACCACCACCCCCACTACCCCCACCACCCCCACCACCATCACCACCACCACCCCCACCACCACCATCACCCTCACCACCACCACCATCACCCTCACCACCACCACCCTCACCACCACCACCACCATCACCCTCACCACCACCACCCTCACCACCACCACCCTCACCACCACCATCACCCTCACCATCACCACCCCCACCACCCTCACCACCACCATCACCACCACCACCCTCACCACCATCACCCTCACCACCACCACCACCACCACCACCCCCACCACCACCACCCTCACCACCAACCACCACCACCCCCACCACCCCCACCACCCCACCACCACCCCCACCACCACCCCCACCACCACCCCCACCACCACCATCACCCTCACCACCACCACCACCACCCCCACCACCACCACCATCACCCTCACCACCACCACCCTCACCACCACCACCACCATCACCCTCACCACCACCATCACCCTCACCATCACCACCCCCCACCACCCTCACCACCACCATCACCCTCACCACCACCACCCTCACCACCACCCTCACCACCATCACCCTCACCACCACCACCCTCACCACCATCACCCTCACCACCACCACCCCCACCACCACCACCACGCTCACCCCCACCACCACCACCCCCACCACCACCACCACCACCCCCACCACCCCCACCACCACCCCCACCACCACCCCCACCACCCCCACCACCACCACCACCATCACCCCCCCCATCACCCTCACCACCACCACCACCACCCCCACCACCACCCCCCACCACCACCCCCACCAC